AGCGTCCTTGCTCCTAGTAGCGATGCCCTTTGCTCCTAGTAGCGTCCGTGCTCCTAGTAGTTTCGGCTCAAAACCGCCGGACACGAACGTCTCGCTTCCCCGGGGCGGCGTGCTACGAGAAGCTTTCCTGCAACGAAGCTCACGGTGCGCTGTGGTGCTAGGAGCAAGTGGTGCTAGAGCTAAGGCGGTGCCCGCGATGCTTCGTCGCACATTGCCGTCTGCCAGACGGCTAACTGCCCGCGCGTTTTCGAGCACGGAGCAGGCTGGAAACGCACGCGGCGCATAGGCACATAGGTCTAGTTGTGCACCTTGAAGGTGAAGCCTTCAAAGTGGAAGCGAAGATTGTGGCATGGCAGATGAAAGTTTTTTCTTCAAAATTTGATGATGATTTGTAATGTTGAGTTTCCCGAACCAAATCATTAGTGCAAGCGCTTCTTCAAGGAAGCTTCCCCCACCGCCTTTAGGGCGGCTGGGGAGAACTTCCTTGAAGAAGCATGAGCTATCCTGCGTCCTAAGTAGTAGCTGTTTAAGCTAGTGGCAACCTCTTCTACTATCTATCTAGCTACTACTAGCTACCTCTACGGCCTACCCCGCCTTTGAAAGAGAATGGTTGCCGCTGGCTGACGTCACTTTTGCGTGGCATGAGTTTCGTGGCTTCGAGCCTAGTCTCCTGCTTGTCAAGCGGCGGTTCTCCGCCCATTGCCGCATCATCAACTCACCATTGAACAATTCACACGCGCACGCATATTATGTATACAGAATATATATATATATGGTTTTTAATAAGTAAATAAATAAAAAACATATACATATATATATATATATGAACTATATTCCTTTACTCTGTTTCCATTTCATTTCCATTGTTCTATGTTTTTTGGTGTTGATCAATTTCTCACCATCCTATTCAATTTGCTAGCTCATTTTGCTTCGACTTTACTCCTTCCCACCTCATTTGTGACGGTTGCAGTTATCCACAGGTTTAGCACTTTCATTGCCCCACATTGTCACGTGTGCCAAAGGTAAATACATCTCAGGTTGGCTGAGCCCTTCTTGGCTTAGCTCAGCTTGCATTTGCAAATTGTGTTTCATCATTCCGCAGATTGATGATTTGACATGGAAATGCCGTATGTAGCTAGCTTTTGCTCATCCCACCCAGCTTCAGACACTTATTCTATTTCTCGTTCTTGTGCACGGTCAGTAACAGATGAGATTGCCATCAAGCTACTCACTAGCTACTCATCTTCAGCTAGGTTGGCAACCACTGGTATCGTGGGCGCGGGTGCTGCGACAGTTTTCGGATTTTCCTACAACAGCGAAAAGAGAAGACAGGCGCCTTTCTCGTCAGTTTGATCCTGATGCGCGATCGTGCAACTTTCTCACGCATTCTTTGCAGTAGTGACATGACCGGTGGAACCCTCACACCCGCAACGGTCTGATATGGGGCCACAGTCCAGCTTGTGAGCATTTTGAGTGGTTCCATGATCGATAGTGAAGATTCTAGTAAAGTATCAGCCAGTCAAGCCTAAAGCTACTGAAGGCCCTTTTTAAAAGCTTTGGTTTGTTGAGCCGTCCAAGTCATGTCGGTCCGGGGCCATCCTCCGCGCAGGAAATTGAAAAAAGGATCAGGACTGACCCCTCAGTCGAAGCGTTGAGAGAGAGAGGAAGTGAGGAGAGAGTTGGCTTTCCCTCATCAGGAGTGTGGAGGAGAAGCCAGTCCCAACAAGAGCACAGCAAATTGAGCGCTTGGCCGCGGGTGAAGAGTTTGACATTCTGGTGGTTGGCGGTGGTGCGACTGGCCATGGCCTTAAAGGGCTTGCAGGCCTCGGAGGGCCTCGCAGAGCCTCACAGGCCTTGGTGCTGTTTATATGGGAGATAGAAAACGCCACATGACCAAGGTGCTGGCGTGGCCCTAGAAGCCCAACTCAGAGGTTTGAAGGTAGCATGTGTGGAGCAGGACAGCTTTGTGTCTTTGTGCGCTTTTCTTGGTCGATTTGCGTTTGAGCCGACTGTCTCCGTCAGGAAGACTTTGCTTCAGGAACATCATCTAAATCCACCAAGCTTTTATGGGCTGGTTTCTTGGCTGAAGAAGGAGGCGACCTACCTGCCAGAGAGAATAGACCAGGGGGGGATTGCTCGACATTCTCCAACCTCATCGTGTTTGGCTTTTTCCATTCTCCATTCGCTTTAAGGGCCAGAATTCTTCAGGTCTTCAACTTGTTGCTGATGCATCAGGTTCTCGCTACCTCGTGAAGGGATTGGTGAAGTTGTTCTCGCCAGCCTCCATTTCGAGCCCGGCCGCTGCGTGGAATGATGCCCGGACAGCGTGGAAGACTTTGTTGGAAAAGCGGAGAGGTCTAAAGGTCTAACAACAAAGAAAAAGAAACGACGCCGTTGTGTGTATACTCCCCGCAACTATCATGGAAGCATGATGCTCTCAGGAATTTGCGGGAACTTGGCACATGGTCCGGGCCCTTCAAACACAAGAACCGAGTATACCCATGCGAGATGCCGGACTTGTTCAGTCGGAGTGGCCAGGTGTTGGGATGCTTCCGTGAGAGAACTTACATGCTCACCATGAATCCTCACATCACAAACTGGGTTCCTATTGCTGTTCCGTGGCTTGGCAGCACCTTTCTGTTTATGCTTTTGCATTCGGGTTTCTGAAAGCAGCTGATTGATAGGTTTGCGCCCCAGTCCTTATTCAGGTTGGACAAGTGGATCATTTGGCCTCCACCATTTGATGCTTGGCTTGGTCAGATGTGTTCCTAGTTGTGCGTGCACAAATCAATGCCAAGGACTACCCGCCAGCAGCATTGGGTCCCTGCACTGGCCTGTTCGTCGTGTTCTTCAAGTTCTATGATCTTCTGGGAAGGCGGGGATGTTCGCCGGAATCTCAAGGGTTCCGAGACTTGGTAGTAAGATGTAGTAAGCTAGAAGCATTGGGTAGTTAAAACCAAGACAGCACACACGTCAGTGGAAGCAGTTTTTGTCAGTAACAGTGATACATCAGTTTGGCATGTTTGTTTTCAATTGCACGCCTAGTCCTTGATGAAAGGTATGTAGCTCCAAGCTCTTTCGTGATGTCCTCGGAGCGGGCACGAGCTGACTTTCCACAAATGGATGGGAAGAGGAGCTCTCAAGTGGCATAGAGCTGGGCTGGTGTCACCCAATATAGATCGAATGCCGGCAGGATGAAGTACGTGTCTGTGTTCTACGAGGGGGAGCACAATGACGCACGCACGAACCTTTGCATTGCTTTCACTGCGGCCATGCACGGAGCAGCGATTGCGAACTATGCCAAGGTTGGCAGCAAATTTGGCTGCCCAGTTTTTCCACAACGGCTTTTATTTTTTTATACAATATTTTTGTGGGCTGCTGCAATTTGAATGTTTTTGACAGGTCGAGAGGATTCTTTTTGATGAGAAAGGGGTGGCCTGTGGCGCAGAGGCGTCAATGGGCATTGATTGCGCTGAAGGAGAGAGCACTGGATTCTGAGTGCGTCGCGTTGACCTAGCCGTAGGTCGTGGACAAAGCCAACCCTTCCGCGAAGTCTTTCGAAATCAAGGCTCCTTTGGATCAAATGGCAGATCTTTGATCTCCTGTGCCTGTGCTGGTTCTTGTGCCAGCTAACCTCTGAGGCGAAGAAAATTGTGTACTGTGGCGGGCCTTTCACAGATGGGCTGCGGCAACTGAGTGAGGGGAAGGATGTGAAGCCCATGGTCAATGCATCTGGCGGTGGCTTGGAAGACACTAGTTTGTGCAATCCTGCCCCAGAGCTGCAGAGAACCAAGGAACACACATCGTTCTTCCGTGTCTTCGGCGAAGAAAGGGGTCATTGAAAGCAGATTCATTTATAGAATTTACAGCGCAAGAGATGAGCCCTGCAATAAAGACAATGGCTGCTTTTGCCCTTTGAATTCTGATAGAGCTGGATTCCGGGGGTTCAGTGTTTGCACAAGTCCGGTTGCTTTACACTTTACACGAACTGCCAGATGTTGCGGATGCTGTTTCTTGATTGTTCTTTGTTCCAGGCCTTATTATTGTCCGCGGCACATTGGAATGGTGGACATGATGACTTCTAGAGGCTGCAGCAGCAAGCGCTAGTGGCAATCTGCAAGTGGTTGAGCCCGCAGATGTGATTACTGTGATCAGGCTCCTTCCTTTTCTTCCTCCCATGGGAGGGCTACACCTTGGTGGGGACAACTGATGTGAAGACAATGCCAGACCTCCATCACCAGGTTCCGGAGGAAGTTGGTGTTTGTGCGGATGTCATTGTAGATCAAAGACGCGAACGTATTCCACAGAAGATTTTCGACCATGTGCGTGCACGAGAGTGCAAACAGCCGTGAGGATGAGATCCAGTACCTGATCAATGAATGCGAGAAGTATTTGTCCCCAAGTTTGCGTGTCCGTCGTCGCTGCTCGCCTTGGACGTCTGCTTTCGGCTTTCCATTCAGCCCCGAATGCCCTTCTGAGGAGATGTCATGTCCGCATGGTATGGCATTCGGCCACTCTGTGGTGACCCCAACGCCAAAGACCAAAGTTCCGCCTCTCGGGACCATGTGGCAGCTTGGAGAGACCTGTCGGGAGAGAGGTTCCGTGACGGCTCCGTGGCCCCCCCGTTCGTCTTTAAAACTAATAGCTTCTTGTAACTACTAGTCAAGCACTTGTTACTACTAGTAAGGCACTTGTTCCTAGTAGCTTCTTGTTACTAATAG